GAAAACTTACAGGCCCCCAGAACATACCACAGGTGATTCTTATTCACTGGGTCTGGAGTGGCACCCCAAAACATGTTGGTTTAAGAAAGTGTCCCACGTGCAACCAGGTTTGTGAACCGCAGGGGCTGAGGACCGAATGGGGGTGGGACGGGAAGGTGATGTGCAGCAGGGAGGTAGGGGAGGGGTGGCAGAGACTCTACTGTGGGAATGAACGGGGGCAACAGCCCTAGCCTGACACCAGACACAGCCTCATGTCCTTCCAACTTTGGGGCCATCGGCTCTTCACAGGGACAAAGCATGTTATAGTTTATGTCACCTTTTCTCTTTCGTTAGCTCATGGAATCCTCACAACAACCAAGTTTCATTTGATGGGTGAAGAAGTTGAGGAACAGAGAACTGAAGCAAAGCACCAGCCTTTGCAGAGCTTTAAGCGGGAGAGAGCTTCACCAAACCGCCTCTGACAACAGCGCTCATCTAGCCTGGGGCTGATGCTATTGGTCAAGGGGACGAGGTGGACATACCTAGGGAAAAGTAGGCTCATCTGGCACTTAGAGACAGATATACAGTACTGCCCTGATGGAGGATTATTGGCCAGTAGCTAAATCATCACTTGTCCTGTCCAGAGCTCTTGAAGGTGCTGCTAGCAATTCCAGGCCATCTCAGTCCACCCCATCTAATCCATCCAACCATCCATCCATCCATCCATCTTTTCATCTACCCACCCACCCATCATATCACTCATCCATCCATCCTCCCCCTATCTACTCACCCATCTATCCAGCTACTTAGCTATCCATTTGTCACATGCATCTACATCTTTCCATCCATCCCATCTATACATTAATCCATCGATCTGCCACTCATCTTCCCTGTTACTCATTCATCCATTTGTCCCATCCATCCATCTCTCCACCTATTCTATCTATCCATCCAACCATCCATCCACTCACCCACCCATCAATCCATCTACCTATCCGCCCACCCAGACATCCATTCATTCATCCATCCATCTTCCCATCCATTCACCCATTCAATTAACCTTCATCAAAGTCCACATGGGGCCAGGCCCCGTAGCAGCCTGGTGTATAACAAAAAGAATCAGACAAATACAGACCTTGCCTTCAACGAGATTTGAGGTACTTACAGAAATGGCAGGCTACCAAAGGGTCAAAATAAATAACCAAGGGAACTTTGTTGAAATGAAAACAAGGCTGGGAAAGTAATAAGGCCAGGAGTCAGGTTGGTACACAGATAAGCACACCATAGAATCTTATCCGTATAGTTGCTCAGGGCAGCCCCAAATCTGGCTCTGAGCTGGATCCTGACACTCAAAGCCAATAAACTACAACACAGGAGTCACAGTAGACTCAACTGTGGTGGACACGACCCAGCAGCTTCTCCTGCCCCCTCACGGCACACGGGTGTTGTGTGTGTTCTGGGGTACGCTGGCTTTCTGGAGACATGTTTGGCTGGCACAACTGATGTGGAGAGACGCTACTGGCATCCAGTGAGTAGAGCAGAGGCCTTGGATGCTGCTTAACATGCTACACTGCACGGGACAGCCCCCCGATAGGGAATTCCCCAAGCCAAGATGCCCACCGCGCTGAGGGTGAGGCCACTAGCCCACAGTCTCAGTGCTGTGTGGGGCAGTCGTGCGCCAGACCCCGAGGGCAGAGTCCCTGTTTTAGGCCAGTCTGGGCTTCCCCATGACTTTCCTTGGACTGGGGAAGTCTGCGGGGAGGTTTCTGGGGGGAAATTCTGCTTTTGGATAGAAGACACAAGTGCATTGGGGAAAACCCTTCTCCTCCTGCCTCCGCCTTCAGACGCTTAAGTGCAGACGTGACGACGCCTGATGCTGTGACAGCCACCATGGGTCGTAGCGGAACAAACACGAGGACCAAAGGCCAGCGCAGCAGGGACTGCGGAGAGGAGGGAAGGAAGAGTGTGGATCTGGCTAATACTGGCCACCACCGTCTAGGGCTCTTTCTAAGCCCTTCCTCCATTCATTCACCCAGCAAATGCTCCCTGAGCGTTTCTTCTGTGTCCGTCACCGTGTGGGACATTGTGAGACGCACGGGGATGGACAAACGATCGCGGCCCCAGACCTCGTGGAGTCCACAGTCTGGTGCGGGGAGGGACAGACGCCACAATTCACACCATCGCCTGTCTCATCAGAGCAACGGCGACAACGACAAAGCCGAACCCAGTGTGCCCCGCACGCCCCGGGGTCCGAGGAGGGCCACGCTCACTCCAAAGAGCAGCTCTTTAGAGACGGCCCTGCGAGGGCTCAAAACCGTGAAGCAGCACCTGGGGCTTCCTGAGTGCTCACCATTCATCCCTTCCACCTGCACGACAGCCGTGCCCTCCACTCCCCCAAGTGACATCTGCTACATACCGTGTCCCTTATCCCACAACTCACCTCTGCTGTTGGGAGGACCCCAGCAGAGGGGTGTCTTTTTTCCCCCTTCAAAAAAAATTTTTTTTTTAAATCAGAAAGTAATTTTTTTCCAGAGCCTCCCGACACGACACAGTTCCCTAGCTCATTTTACAGGTGGAACACATGAGGTTCAGAGATCGGTAGTGACTTATAAAGCCACACAGGTAAAATCAGGGTCTTTTAGCCGCTATCACACACATACTAAGCTAACACCCACGGTCCCAGGACAAAAGAGCTCTTTTCTGGTTGGCGTGTGCTGCAAACCTGGCCGCCAGAGCACGCCTTCCCCGCCCGCCCGCCCCGTCGGCAGCCCGGCCGGGAGGGTCTGCAACAGCGGGGCTGTGTCGGGTCTAGAGTCAGGCAAGTTTTCTTTTTTAAATAATCCTGAGTGTTAGTTTTCTCTTCTACTCTTGGAGATGACAGCATTCTTTTCTTTTTGGAGACAGAGTCTCACTCTGTTGCCTGGGCTAGAGTGAGTGCCTAGCAACCTCAAACTCCTGGAGCTCAAGCGATCCTCCTGCCTCAGCCTCCCGAGTAGCTGGGACTTGAATGCGCATGCCACAACGTCCGGCTAATTTTTCTATTTTAAGTAGACATGGGGCCTCGCTCTTGCTCAGACTGGTCTTCACCTCCTGAGCTCAAGTGATCCTCCCACCTCGGCCTCCCAGAGCGCTAGGATTACAGGTGTGAGCCACGGCGCCCGGCCGACAGCATTCTTTATCTCAGGCGGCTGTTCTGAGAATGAAATGCGCTAACAGGTGTGGAGCATCCATCCATCCTTCCACCCAGCCAAGCATGCTAACACTGGCGGAAGGCCCGCCGTGTGATGAGCGCTGCCCGGGGCTGACACGATGGAACATGGGGACATCCTACACGGCGGTAGCCCTGGAGACAGTGAGAGGCTGTCAGGTTATGTCACTATTGCATTATCCCTTGAGAGGGACTCCGTGGAGCCTCCTATTCCCCCTTAGCCTGGGCCCACAACCTGGGCTGTCCCTCTCAGGAGCTGTGTCTTCCTCTGCCGCATGCCCAAGCCAGCCGTGCAGGTGTCTTTACACCATGCCTTGTGGATTAAGGGTGGCCCCTCCCTGTAGCTCCGCTGTCTCCTCTAATCGCCCCCCACACACACTCAGTGAGCTAGGTTCTGCTGTTATCTCCATTTTACAGAGGAGGAAATAGGTTCAGAGAGGGGAAGTGTCTTGCCCAAGGTCACACAGCAGTGTGTGGGATGGGACCTCAGGCTGCTTGGTTCTTCAGCCCCTGCTACTTCCAGGCCATGTGATCCTGCCTGGTGGCGGGAAAAGCAAAAAAGAGTCCCAGACCAGAGTCAGGAGACCAGTCCCTGAGTCTGTCACACACTGGCCATCTGTCCTCAGCTAATGCTGCCATGAAGTAACATTTGCTGAGCCCTTACAATGTCCTGGGGTGTCGAGGACTTCACACTCTTGCTCCCCTTTAGCTGTCCGTGGCGACCCTAAGACACGTCCTCGTGCCGTCTCCACTTCGGAAACAAAGCCACAGAGGCACTTGAATGTAGAGTCATTTGACTAACATCACAGAAAGAGAACCGAGATGTATTGGATCCCAGAGGCCGAGCTCCGTGCGTGTGTGAGATTTAAACAGGTTTATAAAATGTGCCTAATCTTTTTTAAAAAATCCAGAATGGGCCCCCATTCTGGGGGGTAAGGTGAAACAAACATTCTCTTGAATCGCCTTCCTCAGAAACAAAACTGTCACCAGTTGGGGACCTTCCGCCCACCGATTTTCTATGCAAATCCAAGCGCGTGTGTACATATAGACATCTACGTCCGTTTTGGTATCAGAAGCTAGGCGCATTTATTTCTCCCGCGTACTGTTTTCACCTGATGTGACTGGGAGGCTCTCCCTTATCAGCACACAGACCTGCGGTCCGTCCTTCAACAATGGGTGCATTCCGTCGTAAAGATGCAGCGAGCTCTGTTTACCCGTCCTCCCTCTGAGAAGGGACACTCCGGGGTCACGCCAGGCAGGGTCCTGGCCGTGCATCTAAGTTGCACACGCTCGCACAAGATATCCCGTTTTCCAACGCCCCGCGCTGTGCGGCACTTTCTACCTCTCCGCCTTTGTCCAGAGCCAGGGAGGTGTGCAGACACCAAGCCCACTGTCCCCCGGCAATCACCGCTTGGGTCCCCCGCTCAGCCAGGCCTGGCGCTGGCTCCATCACTGGGGGCAGCTGGGCTCTCAGTTTGCCCCGAGGCAAAACCGACAGGGTGGGATTTCGGGAAGCCCCCAGAGAGGCATTCCCGGAAAAGCCCCCAGGCAGGCAGGGCCAGCCAAGCCTCTGCCCAGGGCTCCTGCAGCCCCTCCCAGCGCTTCCCACACCAAAGCGTCCAGGCCCCTGCCTGAGAGTCGCCCAGCCAGCCCCACACCTCCACTGGGCTTCCTGCCATTCTAGGGGAGCCCTTGGAAGGGCTTTGGGCCTGTCAGAAACACACAGGGAGCTGTCCCATGGCCTCCCAAACCTGACTCTCACCCTGCCCCATCCAGTCCTCCCCCGGCCCCAGCTGCTGCTGGCCTCACTTACCATAGGGACCCTCCACTGGAGCCCCGAGGGACACGTTCACACTGACCATGGCCAAGCCCAACCAGCCAGAGACCCCGGGGCATGGAGGAGCTGGGGCCTGCACAGCAAAGCACAGGGCCACCAGGAGCCAGTCCACCAGGAAGGCAGTGAGCACGGCCAGCTGCCGCCACCCGGTTATCTTATTGATTCTTCTAATCACCCAAGGTGGGTGGACACGTTAAAGAGTAACCAGTCACTTAGGGAACCTGTGGTTGGGGACTGACTACTGCTGTCGCCATGGCAGTGGCTACCTGGCCAAACCCGAGGTCCACTTGGTTCCCAGCCCTGCACTCTGGGGGTCAGCGGCACCTGGAGCCAGATGTAAGGGACGCCAGCCCCCCAAACTGGGACAAGGGACTGGGCAGGAGGGGCTGGAGAGGTAAGAGTCTAACCGGGCTGGGTTTTATGACTCCACGCTAAGGGTGTGGAAGAGCAGGAAGGAGCAGGGAAGGCGAGGGAGGGGTAGAGGAGAGGAGGGTGGAGAACTGTGCTTATTGAGTGCCTACTGGATGCTGGGAGCTGCATACAGGCATTGCCACGTTTAAATTAAACCTTGAGACGAGGAAATTGAGGCACAGAGGGAAGATTCTTGCTGGGAGTCTCACAGGTGCTCATTCAGCCACCCCATGGGGACCCCCATTCCCTATTGGTGGGCCTGGGTTGTATTAAAATGTCCTTTCTCCAGTAAAACAATGGTGAAAGCAAATGTTAGATTTTTTAAAGAAATTATTAATATTCTTGTATTAGGTGGGGCAAAAGCTTGCCAACTTCATGTCAATTTCCCAAAATATTCTGGAAATTTAAGTGGAACGTGACCCCCTAGATTAAGCGGCATCATAAGGTCACGTGGCTAATAAGGAGCAGACGTGGGATTTGAGTTCAGTGTCACCTGCCCCCAAAGCCCGTGCTGTTTTTCAGCTGCCCCGCATGTCCTCGTGTGTCCTGAGCACCAGGACAGTGAGAATGACAACCACTGGCATTTAAGAACTGCTTCGTTGGTCAGCACCCTACACCCTCAATCGCACTGAATTAGCACCGTTCCTGTCCCCATTTCACAGATGTAAAACCTGAGGCTCAAGAGACTGCATTGAATCTGCTATATGGCACAAAAGATCAACGTGGTAACCCCAATGCTCTCTTGCCTCTCAGCTCAGAAGGGACAAGGTCAGGGCTTGGACAAAAGTAGACACAATTAAGCAAAAAGAGTGGGCATTCCAGGTGATCTCTCAGGTTCGCCATTTCTGATACTGCATTTGAGAAGAGCCCATGCCAAAAAAATAAAGTAGGCAAGATAAAATCGGAGAATAATGAACTCACAACAGTGTCCTTGGTTTTCTTATTTCACTTGAAATAAGAAATCATTTCGATTTCAGTCTTTGGAAATTTATACTCACCTGAAGCCTCACCTTTCTCATCTGTAAAGTGGAGTGATAATATACGCACCTTTGCACAGTGGGCTGAGGGCCTTTAGTCCCCTCCCCTGGCCTTCCAGCTCAGCTGGTTTGTCCCTAACCCCCTCTGCCTGCACCAATTCCCTTCCCTAGTCTTTTGACCCTCCCCAGAGCTGAGAGAGGGAGGGACCAGAAGGAGTCACTGCACTGAACTTTATTGGGGGCAGGGGCGAGGGAGTGACATGCGTAGGTCTGGCCTGGGTGCAGGTGACCAAGAGGAAAGAAAACTGTGTCCAAGACAAGGTAGGGGTTCTGCAGGGAAGGGCCTGTTCCCTGTTCCCCCATGGCGGGTCTTTGGGGTTCTCTCCAGCCAGGCAGGGGGTGGGCCCCAGCTCGAGGGCAAGGTCTGAGGAAGGAGATTTTACTATCTCTGGAGACAAAGGGCTTTTGTGTGCTATGGTCTCTGGGTGGGAGGGGTTGGGGAGAGGGAAATGGTTTATTGGAATGAGAATAAGGTTGTGCTTGAGAAAGAGAGAATCAGAGGCAGAGATTAAGACAGAAAACCAGACAGGGAAAGAGCAGAGAAGTAGACAAAAGAGAGAGAGACTGAGGCAGAGAGAGACAGAAGATGCGGAAAGGGAAAGAGAGAAAGTGGCCAGAAAGAGAGAGCTCCTTCGGGCGGCTTTGGTTTTCTCCCCTCGGTTCTGAGATCAGTTCTTCTGGCCTCGTGTGGAAGACAAGCTGTGTGGCTCTGAGTAGGTCACACCCCTCCTCTGAGCTTCCGTGTGCCCATCTGTAAAAGGGGGGCCTGGACCTGCGGTGGCCCCAGTGACATGTCAGGGGGTGGGGTGGGGTGGATGTCCACAGCTACTTTCAGTGTTTTTAAAAGCATGGCTCTGACGTGTGCACCGCTCAGAGGGACCTGCGAGTCCTCCAAGGCTGCCCGGAAGCTGGTTGGCTGTTATTGGATGAACGAAGGTGGGTTCCAGGCTGAATATGACAGAAAAAAAATGCCTTTCATTGTGTGGACAAAGTCTTTCGGGTTTGCTGAGAGTCACAAAACCAAGCTGCCAGCACTGCGCCTTGCAGCCCCGGCTCTCTGAGAACCGAGTTAACGAAAGATGCAGGTCTGTTTCCCAGGCCAGAGAAAAGCAAGCTGTAACTACGGAAAGCAGGAAGGCAAGGAGGTCATTTTCTTCTGACACATGCTAGACGTCTAGGAAAGGGAATGTGGGAGGGAAAATTCAGTGGGGTGATCCCAATTCATATCCTTTTTAAACAAAATTGTTTCTTCACCCAGTCTCTGGGGAGGGTTCTGGGAGGGCGGGCCCAGTTGGAGCCCCCCCGGAGCCCGGGGACATTTCAGAACCACAGGAACCTGTTGGATTTCGGCCCGAGAAGCACATGTTGCTATTGCAGATGGCTTGGTAGCTGGGGGGACAGGCAGAACACGGCCTCCCCAGCTTGTATGGGGCCTCGCCGATCCAGTGGCCCCTGGAAGAGAAAAGGTCTCAGGGCGGCAGGGTTGGGGGACAGAGAGCCTTAGGGGAGCAACCTTCACGCAGATGTTCAAATCTCAGCACTGCCATCACTAGCCGAGTGACCTGGGGCAAGACACATCTGTGAGCCTGGGTTTTCTCTGTAAGTCTAAGAGAAGAACCCCTTACCCCCCACACACCGTTTTAGGAATGCAGCACCCAGCGCCGTGCCTGCCAAGTAAGTGACTCCCCTGCAAGGGGTGACTTCCTCACTCCACCCAGTCCCCCCAGAGCAGGCAGATGTGAGTCTGGTCCTGGATTCTGCCACCTGCTAGCTAGTGACAGGAGAAGCCACCTCATCTCTTGAGACTTGAGTCTTTTCCTCTGGATAAAATAAATAAATGAAATGGGGTATGTGAAAATTACTTGAAATCACCTATGAGAAGACACTCTATAACTTTGAGTTCTATGCAAATGAAAACTAGAATAATTAGGTGATAAGTACAATTCAGTCATGGGGGACGTGCCCACGGAGCCTCATCACGGGCCACTGTGGACACTTCAACAGCTCTGTCCCAAATCCATCCTACCTGCTCCTGAATTAATGCTCTCACAAGACCACCACCTTGTAAGGGGAGGTGGGAGAGGGAGTTATTGCTTAATGGTTAGAGTTTCTCTTTGGGTCAATGAAAAGATTTTGGGAAAAGGTTAGTGGGGATGGAGGCAGAACACTGTGATTGTAAATAACGCCTCTGAGTTGTACATTTAAAATAGTTAAAATGGCATAATTTGTGATACATATATTTTGCCACAATTTAAAAGTATTAGTAATATAATATACCAAAACCCCAAAATCATGCACCCTTTCAGTCTGGTTAAAAAAAAAAAAAGAAACAAAAATATTAAAAAAAAGAAGAAGGAAAGTTCAAGTCCCTGAAATAAAATGGTGTACATTCACATATAACCTATGGGCATCCTCCTGTACACTTTACATCATCTCTAGATTACTTATAATACCTAACATAGTGCAAATGCTCTGTAAATAGTTGTTATACTGTGTTGTTTAGGGAATAACGACAAGGAAAAAAGCCTGTACATTGTTCCAAACGTTTTCCATCTGTGGTTGGTTGAATCCATTGAAGTGGAACCCACAGATCTGGAGGGCCGACTGTGTGTTTCAATAAAGCTGTTGAAAAAAAAAAAAAGACCACTACTGTCATCACATTCTCCTGCTCAGTAACTCTGAGGGTGTTCCATTCGCTATGCAGGAGCTGGCAAACTTTTTCTGTAAACCCCCAGATAGTAAGTATTTTAGGCTTTTGCCAGCCAGGCTGTCTCTGTCACATGAAAGGAGCTGTAGATGATATGTAAAGGAATGGCATGGCTGTGTTTCAATAAAACTTTATTTACAAAATAGGCAGCAGGCCAGATCAGGCCATGGGCGGGAGTTTGCAGACTTCCGGTTTATAGACTCACATCTACAGCTTTTGGTCATGCATTCCGGACTGCCCTGGCAGCATGTGGACCCAACTCACGTGCCTCGTCTTCCCACATTCTCTACTCTAGCACAGTCCGTAGATTTCTCTCTTTTTCTCCCTCTTCTGCTCTCAAAGCCTAAAGTCACCCCCCCCAGCTCTTGCTCATGGCTGCCTAATAACCTCACCACTGGCCTGTAGGGTTAGTTATCTTTGCAAGACTCTTTGTTTGTTTGTTTCCACCTTTACAAGTCCCAATGTCATATTTTCTCACACCTTAAATGAACACTGCTTGTGGGCAAAAATGGAATCTTTTGTTCTCCAAAAGTGATTGTTGAATGACTGAGTGAAGTCAGCCAAAGTGCTCAGAAAAGTATACACTTCTGGTTTCCTAACAGGATTCATTCATTCATTCATTCAACAAACACTTCCAGAGCATTTATTATATGTTAGGATTTATGCCAGCTCCCGGCAGTCCAGAGTTTTCAAGAGGTGCTTTCAGAAGTTTGGGGGCAGAGACAGTGTGCGGTGGAGATGTCAGGGGTGACGGAGAAAGTACATGTAGTTCTTTTTTTGTTTAATTGAACCACTTGGGGGGAACATCTGCTTAAAAAAACAAAGGATTGAAATCACTGTAATAGGATATAGAAATGAACAGTCTATTTCTCTCCCTCCAGAGTTTATAACCTAGTTATCATCATGGCCACCATTTATTTAGCATGTACTATATAGGCAAGATACCACACTGGCCACGTTATCATATTTTAATCCTTAAATTTTGTGGGCCAGGTAGAATTAACCTTAAAAGAGGATATTAAGACCTGTAGAGATAAAATGCTGTATTCAAAGTCCTTAGTATGCACACAGTAGAGCAAGGAATCAAACCTAGATCTGGCAATAGCAATAAGAACCAATATATACTCCCCACTTATCAACCCCGGGGGCATTACCTGGGTTATCTCACTTAATTCCCTCAGTAGCTCACTAGGCACTATTTTATTGCCATTTTGCAGATGAAGAAACATGCATGGAGAAGTTAAGTAAAATTACAAATTCGAACCCTGGCATCTTGACTCCAGAGCCTAAAAATCTTAACAGCTATACTTAATGTTTCAAAAATTCGGTATGTCCCCAGCAAACAAATTGAAACAGTTCCTCAACCTTAAGCTATTTGTAACAGAATTTGGTTGCTTTTATTTTTCCATAGGCGATAAAGCTGGGCTGCAATGTGACATTTTGTCAGTAGATGTCACCATCTAACAAATATTCCAGTTTGAGGCTTTGTGTTCAGGCTGCCAATGACTTCAAGAACATTAGGATAGTACAATAGAAAGAACAGGAGACTTTGAATCAAAAGACTTGTGTTTCAAACAGCTCTGCTACTTATTGGCTTTGTGACTTTTGGTAAATTTCTTTAACCTCTCTGAACCTCAATTTCTTAATCTGTAAAAAGGGCAGTATTTTCCCAGTGCCCCTCCTGTTTTTTTCTTCCTTCTTTCATCTCTTCAAGAAAATAACAAGGTGGAAGTATTTTGTAAATAATCAAGTGCAATGTGAGAGTAAATTGTGGTTATTATTATATTATATAATTTTGAAATTTTAAATACCATGTTTACTTGGAATTTGTTCTTATTTTTTGTATGAGAATATATAATGTTTGCAAGTTTGAGTACTGTACATTGGGTGGGAACTTTCATTCCCCTTTCTCCATGTTTCCAAGGTATTTGGATGAAGGTGGCAGGTAAACTCTTTCCCACCACACTGATTGGAGAAGAAGTTCAGCATGCTCCTTCCTCCTTCCTGTCTTTCCTTTGGGCTCTGCCTGCCTGCAGGGAGCATGTGTTCTTGGTTGTCTATTTCTCGTGGTAAGCTCAGAGGGGCTGGCACCGCACTTATAAGAAGAGGCCTAAACACTGTATGTGCTCACTATTAAATTGGAACTAACCAATGAGCACATGTATGCACAGAGGAAAGTAAAACTCAGTGGAAATGAACCAGGGCGAAGAGGGGAGGAGAGGAGGGGAAAAACCCACCTAATGGGTACTATGAGCACTATCTGGAGATGGGCATGGATAAGCTGGGACTCCAGCATTACAAAAGCAATGCATGTAACCTAAAACATTTGCACCACCTTAATAATATTTTGAAACAAAAATTAATAATAATAAAAAAGAAGCACATGTGCTTCTAAATCTCACTTTTTAACATACTTTGATGCGTATATTCCAATACAACTGATTTCTTCAAGAAAAAGAAAAAGGATTATTAATTGACTCTCTAAAATCGTATGGTATTTAGGGTACTGAGAATGGAGGGAGCAGGGATACTGCATGTGTCTTCTTTTTTTTTGAATTCTCAGGATCGCCCTCCACCCCCCCACCCCCGCCCCAGAGCCCGCTTTGCTGGCACTTACTTGATGGCATAGTTGCAGACCAGGTACACTGCCTGGTGCCAGGTGCTGCCCCCGACACTGACGCTGCTACAGGTGTGGATGGCGCAGCCCAGCTAACTGGAGGATGCCCACATCATCTGAGTAAGGACAAGGACAGAGGACGCTATGAGGATGCAGGGGGCCCAGGTTCCTTGGGGCTGCATGGCCCCTGGGTGACCACATTAGGTGAGGTCTTCCTGGGGGCGGCAGTCTGCCTGTCCCATGATAGAGGGGCTGGAAGGATTTATATTGTAATATAATGTTTCTCAAACTTTTTTCTCATACAACCAACAGTAAGGAATAAATTGTATATTGTTACCAGTGCACAAACACACACATACACACACACACTTAATTGGAAGAAAAGTTTTATGAACCAATATTTAGCCTTATCATGTGTGATATATTTTCTGCACTGTCCTATTCACTCTTTTTTTCCCTAGTGATCAACCTTTGAAAATCATTGTTGTCTTGGAGGTTAAAACACAATCTTTGGAGTCCAAGAGACTTGAATCAGAATTGCAATATCAGATGGGCGTGATAGCCTGCACCTGTAATCCTAGCACTCTGGGAGGCTGACTCGGGAGAATCACTTGAGATCAGGAGTTCGAGACCAGCCTGAGCAAGAGTGAGAATCCATCTCTACAAAAAGTAGAACACTTAGCTGGGTGTGGTGGTGTGCGCCACCAGATGTAGTCCCAGCTACTGGGGAGGCTGAGGCAGGAGGATCGCTTGAACCCAGGAGTTGGAGGTTGCAGTGAGCTGTGGTGATGGCACTGCACTCTAGCCTGGGCAACGGAGCAAGACTCTATCTCCAAAAAATAAAAAACCAAATCTCAATATCACCAGCTTTGTGACTTTGACCAAGTCACTTAATTTGTGCCTCAGTTTCTTCATTAATGAAATGGAGGTAATAATGTATCATGAGAAGTCAGGAAGGGCATTGGTTTAGGTGTCACATTTCCTAGAAGGTCTCAAATTTAGATTTTTGGCATTATCTCCCAATGAGTCACAGAGAGACGGACAGAGCTGAAAGAAGACATTTGTGATACAACTGGAAGTTTCTGTTCTGTGACTTGCAACAGTGCATTGCATTGTATTTTTATGTGTAATAAGTGTTAACGTATTCAATTTAGCACTAAAAATAATACACTTTTCGTAATCTTATTTTGACTTTTTTTTTTAAGATAGTGCGAGTCTTCAAAAATGAAAAATTCTTGAGACACTCAAAACTGAACGAGAGTCACCTCAATTGAGTGTGCACATAATTTTATATTTCTTATGTAAGAGAACCCATAGGGGCCTCTGTTCCACCACGTTCTTTTCTTTCTAAGGTACAAGGATTCGCTCTCCCATCCCAGCTCCCACGGAGGATATCTGGGTGTAGTGGGAGCAGGCAGAGCCGCGGCAATGCCAGGGGCAGTGCGGGTCACAGTCCTTCGGGGCAGGAAACAAGTAGTGCTGCTTCTCCTCGGACCAAGCCTTCACGATGTCTACCACCGAGCGGTACCTGGGGAGGGGAGAACATGGAAGAACCTGGGTGGAGGGGGTGGAAAAGTGGCTCTGCCACTAGCCTATTGGGGACCTTGGGTGAGTCACTTTGCCTCCCTCCCCTTGGTTTCCGCCTGCCTCACAGGGGTGTTCGGAACAGAAGATCAATTGAGATAACCCATGTAAAGTGCTTACATGTGCCCGGCACATAGTAAATGCTCAATAAAGCTCACTTGCTGAGCCATGCAAAGGGCCACGTGTGAGGTCGGCAACTCAGACAGGGCAGCTTGAGTTTTAGGGGAGGAGAGGCTCACTGGGCCATGGGGCGGGGAACCTGCGGCCTTCTGATTTCAAGATTGTCCTTTTGTAAGCACCAAAGGAGGCAAGAAAAGCTTCATCTTTCTCTGCCGCACGCCTTTCAATAAAAGGATTTGTTCTGTGATATTTGGATTCAGTCAAAAGGCCACACTTAAGGACCTAGAGGGCCACATGTGGCCTTAAGGCCGCAGGTTCCCCACCCCGGCCCTGCAGGTGGAGTCTGAAAAGCCATCTGGTGGGACCTGAGGGGTTTCCTATCACGCACATGTGACAGAGCACAGATATACAAAAGAACCCATAACGGGGGGAATCTGGGAGAATTTGCACTCAGAAATTGCAGCAGCACATCGTTGTTGTTGTTGTTGGTTTTTTTCTTTTTTTGAGACAGAGTCTCGCTCTGTTGCCCGGGCTAGAGTGCTGTGGCTTCAGCCTAGCTCACAG